GACTGCTTCAAGGCTTCTTGACCTGCTATATAAGACCACCCAGAGCTAAGTGGATAAATAATCAAATCCCAAATATAAAATCAAAATAAACTGCTTTTTCTGACACTAACTATACCAAATCTCCACTTCTTACTTTGCTGTTAAGTGCTGACACAATTGCCCACACATCCTTGGCCTTAACCACCCAGACTTTAAATGCTAGCTAACATATATGAGAGACTTGAGACTCTCCGTGATACCCTCACATTTGACTCACTGCTGACTATTCATTTGAGGTTTTCCCACTGCCTCATTCGGATGCAGCTCAGGGACCCCTGAGCTCCTTCACTTCACACCTCCTGGCTACCGATTTTCACTGGCCTTTCAGGATACCAGCCATAAGCTCAGGGATTCCAGTCCTGCTTACCTCTGACCTGCTTGTTATACTCATTTGAATTCAGAAAGTCGTTGGAAGAACTGTGAGATCAAAACCTACAGAAAGTACTATCATTATGATTATTGTTGTTGTTGTTGTTGTGTGCCATCGAGTCAGAACAGACCCATAGTTGACCCTCAGCAGGGTTTTCAGAGGCAGTTAATCACATAGGAGATTGTCCTTCTCCCGCAGAGCAGCTGGTGACCTCAAACCACGTGCCTTCGGGATTGCAGTGCAGCTTCTTGTCACTATGCCGCCAGAGCTCCAAAAATACTTTTTTTTTTTTACAAAAGGGTACAAATGAAAGGATGCAGAGAACAAGATCTCAGAGGGTTCCCAGCATGGAACCTCCATGTTCCAAAGAAGGTGTTGCTCCTTCTCATACTTGAACTCCTTTCCCCAGCCGTAAAAGCCCATGGAACTTGGGTTAAGAGTTTTTTTCTAGGCTATGTCATGTAGCCAGGATTGGAACCTGTTAGATAATCCTGATTGATTGGATCATGCTCTCCCTAGATCATTTGCTCTCAGACCAGGAGGTGGTCTTTCTGGTTAAGCCAGCCTCCCATTCATTAACACAAACTCTAGATGTTTTCTGAAAGTCTTCAGTTTTAAACATACTTTCAACTTTTTTCCAATTACTTGGGAAATTTTAAAAGTTTTTAATTCTCTCTCAGGAAATAAGGACAGGGACAAAATTACTCTGAGTAAACTTAAAGTCTCTTTGCTCCATAATGACCATGCCTAGTCCTCCTTAAACCCTTTTGTTCTGTTTCCTCTTCTTCAAGGGTGAACTGACATGCTCTGGCCCCTGCCTACCTCACAAGCTTCATTTCCAGTCAGCACCCTTCTCCACATACATTCATTGCCATCAAGTCATAGCCAACTCATAGTGGATTCTCCAGCAAGTTTTCCAACCCTGTAAAACACCCAGAAGGAGAGTTCCCTAAGCCTACATGGTCTAGCCCTTGCCTACCCGTGAGTCTCATTCCCTTCCTCCCCAAGTTCACACCTCCCTCCACATAGTCACACACAAGACATTCCACACCCACACACTTCACACCTCTCTTCTTCTGCATAGGCACTTATCTTTCCTTGGGATACCCTTTTCCTTCTTGTTTACCTGGAGCAACGCTATTTAAAAACCCCAGTGAAGTCTCCTCTCTCACTTACTTCTTTGATTTACTCTCTTTACTTCTTTGATTCCTCATATGTGTTCCTGGAGTTGTCACTTGTCACACATGTTGAAACTCTTTATTTATATGTCTTCCTTCCTACTGAGGGAAAATATTGGTGGCCAGAACCAGGTCCTGCAATCAAAGAGCTCTGGAGATGAAATCAGGCAGATTGTGATGCTCCTCAACAGACGATCTGGCATAGGCAAGGTCATAAATGCTCTAAAAGTTTGTCTACAGGTCACATTGTTTTTACTTTTCTGTTTTCCCCACCACATCCTTGTCTATATGAATGCACATTTCCAAAATGACTTTCAGTAGAATGTGCTGAGCTCTGTCAGGCCCTCACTTGGCACATCGTAGCATGGATATAATTTTGACTTCGTCATTTCTTAAAGTGCTTGACATTGAGATATAAATAGTGTAATAAGTTTCACAAGTAGGATTTAAAATAACAGTATATTCTGTCACCCAAGGGTGATATTTAAGATGTTTAACAACTGGAAAAACAAGGGGATTAACTAATAAAAGGGAAGACCAGACATTCAGAGTATCCTTGGTTGCTCCCATGCAAGCCCACTGCGTTTCAGCTCAGGATGACCTTACTTAACCATTTCCACATAGGAAGGAGAGATAATTTCTTTTCCCACAGATATCCAGTTGTTTTCCTATCTATTAAATAGTCATCTATTCCATATTGATTGGAAAGTACACCTTTATCATACCAAATATCCATGCATACATGATTTTTTCTCTGAACTCTGTTCTCTCCTCTTGATCTATTTATCTATTTTCTGCTTATGCCATACTGTTTTAATTACTATAGCTTTAAAATCAATATTGATGAGAATATCATAAATACTGCTTTGATAATTTTTTATCAAAACTGTTTTGGCACATTTACTCCATTTACTCATCTTTTTCAAAATTTTATTTTATTTTATTATGTTTTTGGTATGTGTACTGTCAAATTGGATCTGACTGGTACAGGAGGAGATTGCCCCTCCTTCTCCAGCAAAGCATCTGGTGGATTCGAACCGCATACCTCTGGTGTTACAGTGCAGCTTCTTGCCACGAGGCCACCAGAGCTCCCTCATTTACTCATCTTTACGAAATTTGAAATTAGTTGTCAAGTGCTGTAAAAAAAATACTGTTGGGATTTTTATTGGAGTTACACAAACTAGATGTTGGGGAGGCAGTTTTCAGCTTTAAAATACTGACTTTTCTCAGTTTTACCCCCACCCTGATGTCAGCCTCATTCTACAACTGTGGCACCATACAGTATTTGTCCTTTTGTGACTGAGATACTTCACTCAGCATAATGTCCTCCAGGGTCACCCATTCTGAATAATATTGCATTAGTTCCTTGGTTTTCAATGCAGCGTAGTATTCCATTGTGTGAATATACAACAGCTTCTCTATCCATTCGTTTGTTGATGGGCACTTAGGAAGACTGGATAAATTATGTATACTGCATTGAAGCCGATGAGGGAGAGAACAGTTTAAAAATAATATATTTTAGGACATTATGATTATCATAAGAGTTCGGAATGAGGGTTGCAGAGTGGAGTGTACTCGGGGTGAGGGTGGGGAGGTGCAGCGGGATTGTATACCAATGAAGGAGTTTTTTATTTTGCTTTTAAAGAAGAGCGAACTGGGGGTCGGGGTGGGGTGGGCGGGGAGAAAAGTGCAACAATGAATGAATGGAAATCCACAATCTCTTTAAATGTTCATTGAAATTAATAAAAAAATACTGACTTTTCTTATCCATATATTAGAGCTCTTTTCTTATCCAACCTTCATCAATAAATGATTTATTTTAGACATCTTGAGTTGTTGTTTTTGTATACTGTCCAGTCAACTGTAACTCAGAGCAGCCCTCTGAACAATAGGTCCGAACCTTGCCCTCTCCTTCTTCATCTTGAGTCCATTGTTACAGTCCGTCTTGTGAGTGTCTTCCTGTCAGTCACTGAGCCTCCACCTTGCCCAGCATGATGTGTTTTTCCAAGGACCAGCCCCTCCTCACAATATGCCCAACATACATAAGACTAAGTCTCACCATCCTTGCCTCTGAGGAGCAACCTGGTTTCAGTTCCTCCAAGACAGACTTGTTGAATTATAAATGCCAGAATTAATGTTCAGATCTGGGGCATACACATCGTGGTACAAAATCTGAGCAAGCCACAGAGATGTTGTCCTTTTCCTGGAAGTGAATAAGGTTAGTAAATACTGTTGTATAGGACAAATGCCAAAGGGAGACAAAGAAAAGTCCATGGACAGTCCATGGAGGAGGACCGCCTTCAAAGCTGTGATGTGATGCTGGAGGTGACCACGCAAACGTGGCCTGCAGAGATGTGGAAGCAGTATTGCTTGGAGCAGTTAGAGGGGCTTCCTGAACAAAAGACCGGGTGGTCTTAATAGAACAGAACAGCAAGTTAGATTCCACAATGAAAGGTGATACCTGACAAGAAAGTCCGGGGAGAAAGCAGTAAGTTATTTCTACAAGACCAGAGTTGAGGAAAGTTTGTATGTTTACCCCCTCACTCTGGGATTGAGGGACCTTCAAGAAAACAAATCTTTTCACCACTGGCCCAATTGGCAGCATCATGATAAATCAAGAAAAGATTGAGATTGTTAACAATTTCAGCTTGCTTGGGTCCACAAAATTACACAAATACATACAAGAATACAAAATGTATTCTTGACATCAGCAGTCATGAAATCAAGAGGAAGTGCATTGGGAAAGTCTACTGTCAGGGACCTCTCTAGAGTGCTGAGAAGCAAGGACATCAGTCTAGAGACGAAGGTGTGCTTGATCCAGGCCGTGGTCTTTGCAGGTACTTGCTTTGCATCATAGATCAGTGATGTATGGACAGTGATCAAAGGTAACAGAAGAAGAATCAATGCCTTTGAGTTGTGGTGCTGGAGAAGAACACTACCCTGGACTGCCAAGAGAACAAGCAGGTTTTTCCTGGAAACGGTGAAACCAAGTTGCTCATTGGAAGTAAGGATTTTGAAGCTCCATCTCACATACTTTGGACATGTTGCCAGGAGGGACCAGTTCTTGTGGAAGGACATCATAGTTGGAATGGTGGAGGAACAGTGCAGAAGAGGAAGAGCCAGGATGAAGCGGATTGACGTAGTAACTGGGGTAACAGGATTAGGTATGTAAGAAACAGTGAGATTGGCTCAGGATTGGGCAAGGTTCCGAGTTATTGTGCAGTAAGGTCACTTATGAGTCATAGTCAACTTGATGGCACATACAACAAGAAGAAGAATTGTTAGGGTGAGGGACAGCAGGCAGTAACAGGTGAGTCCTGACCCTACAAAGGTCCTAGAGGAACTCAGTGAATGGAGCAGTGTGGCAGTGCCCAGAGGACCTTCCTTTATATTTCTGGTTTCTGCTCTGACAGGTCCAGGCCACTGTTGTGGGGCTCCTGGCTGCTCTGGCTGCCCTGCTGCTGGGAGCTGTGTCCAGGGAGGAGCTGGACCTAGCAAAGATGGGACTGCTGTGTGCCAGCAGTGTCCTCACCGCCTTCCTTGCTGCGTTGGCCTTAGGTGAGCTCACCCACTTCGGCTGCTTCCTCTCTCCCCTCCCCTACCGGTTGCTTGCCTCGCCAGCTCTCTAGGCCTTTATTCTCAGCTGTTTCCTGTTCCCTGAGATGCCATATACAAGGATGCTGAAGGGGAAACTGCCGGGTAAAGGAGGAAGGCATGTGCCCATCTCCTAGACAAGCTTATTATGGGCCAGTGGCTGCCACTGACTCCTCTCCTGTCCCTCTGCTGGTGACACAAGTAGCCCTTGCACTGTTTCTATCATGGTCGCTCTTGATCCATGCCATACTCAGATACCTTCAACACAAAAGCTGTTTGTCTAGTTCTTTTCTCGCTCCGTCTTCATATGTTTTCCGATTTTCTAGTGATGCTCTGGACTCTGCAGTGACTCTGGCTTCAGCTCCTCTCCTTTGATATGTATTTATATAGTGCAGAGACTGACAAGAAATGCATAGATGTATTCAGATGAGTGTGGAATCACTTGAGTAGTCAGCACTCTTCTCAGGCATACTTTACTCTCGCACCTTTTTATTTACATACAATGCTTTTGTTTGTCCTCTTTTCCCTCCACTGAATGCTACAGATGGACAGGGCCTTGTTTCTGTTCTCAGCTCTTAAAGCCAGGCAAGCCATTTCATCAGCACCCACGGGCTTGCAGAATAATGTCTTTCTGAAGCTTATGCTGGACTTGTCTGAGGGCTGTGTGCACGCAGCCAGCAGGTGCCTGACTTTTGTGTAGTTCAAAGGGAAGATCATGGAGCACACTGCTTACCGTCCGGCCCCCTTCTAATGCCTCAGCTCATAGATATGGTGCTAGGAAACCCACACTCAGCTCTCTGTGAGATAGCTAACTATCTGACCTTCATCATCACAGGCCCTCTCAGCCCCCATCTAAGTCCTGCAGGGGCATTCCCAGGGATGCAACTTGAGGGCTCACCAGGGTTTTGCTGGCAGGCTTGGTAGTGCACTACTTGCTTAGATGCTTACATGTCCTTCTTTCTCTTTTTCACTGTTTCTTCTTTGGATAATCTGGTGGCATGTAGTCCTCTACTTTGATCCCCATTTCCTCATAAGTTTGGCCTTGATACATCTCTTGCATGCTAAGCCCATGTTGGTGTCTGCTTCTGAGAAGATCTGCACAAATGACAGAGGCCTCTGCCAGTCTCTAGGACCTCACTGATCTCATTAGTTTAGGAATAGCCTTCAGGGCAGCAGGCCTTGAGCACATGCCCTGGTAGTTACAGGTCCTTTGCTGTGATTCTTTTTCCGGAGGGTTTCTTCCCAGCTTTTCAGCTCTATCCAAGGCACAACAGTTGGTTTGGAAAGGGAAGAGAAGAGTCGAGAATTGGAGGAGGAAATTGAATGTGTGGGTAGTTGTCTCTGTGAACAACTAAAAACCACTCCCTTTGCTGTGAAACCATAAGAAATGGATGGTGCCCTGCAACCACTAATGAGCATTTCTAATGAAGATTCTGTAGGAGAATCTTGATCAGAAATGGGGAATATGCAGAACAGAATTTCAAATTATCAGGAACTCCAGACTTTCTGGAGCCTTGGAGGCTGGGTGAAACTATTGCCCTGGGATGATCTTTAGACCTTAAATTGCAATATCACCTGACATCTTTAAATCGTAGTGTAGACTAACTGGTAAAAAAAAAAAATAAATAAAATAAATCTGCATTGTGCAGATAATTGAGCATTGTACTCTTTTAGGATGTGTCTGCATGGATCCCACTGACAACACTAAGTCAGGAGATTAGGTGGGAAACTTAGGAAGCAGGGAGTTTATGCTAGAGAGAACTCAGAAGAAGGTAAGAACAGTTGCACATCTTGAAGGACGTAATCAGCGTCATGGACTTTTGCCTGTAGAAATTGTTGCTCTGTGCATAGTCTCAACAGCAGCAACAGAAGCCTTCTGGTGACTTTGTCACATCTCTGCATAGTCTCAAAGTAGATCTAATTGATGCTGCCATACTCTTTCACCATGGAGAGAGAAACGGGATGCACTGCGGCAGTCTGCCTCCCCTCATGCCTAGGCCTGGGTGGGCATAAAAGGAAGTAGCAGGCAGCCTCACGGCCTGCTCCTGTCACACCACATCCAGTGCCCCCTGTGTCCCCAGCCTTATCAGGGTCATTGGCTTCCGAGCCTCTTTGTCTCCTCGCTCTCCTGTCTCTCTCTGCAGGAGTGCTGATGGTCTGTATAGTGATTGGGGCTCGGAAACTTGGGGTCAACCCTGACAACATCGCCACACCCATTGCTGCCAGCCTGGGAGACCTCATCACACTGTCCATTCTGGCTTTGGTTAGCAGCTTCTTCTATAGGCACAAAGGTAAGGAGGCTCCCAGGAAGAGGGGCCCTGGGTCAGGTCACTAGTAAGGCTGAGATGAAAGTGTTTGCACCAGCATTATTCACCATCACAAGATCATAGAAACAACCCACAATCGAATGGCACATTCACATGATGGAATACTATGCAGCACACAGGAACAATGATTTTGAAAATTACTACCTAACTTGGGAAGGTCTGGAGAGCATTATGCTAAGTGAACTAACTCAGTCCATAAAGTCAAATACTGTATACAACTATTATTGTTTAAATAGAAAAATAGGTAGTAAAATGTGTATGAGGATACAAGGGGATGGGAGGGTAGGAGCAGAGGGGTGAGGATGGGCAGGGGGGTAATCATTGGGTCGTACAATTTGATGAGTAGAGAGAAGGATGGGTAAAGGAAATGGGAAAGATCCAGTGTGAAAAACAATCTATATAAACTTTGTAAGAAAACCAGTATAAAATAAAAATTTTATTTTAAAAAAGAGCTTTTGCACCTAGCCAGAGCCATTCAAATGGACATCTTGCTCATGGCCAGGAACCTAAGGTTGTCATGGGGCCCCAGACTGTTTATAGTTGGAGAACCTAACACAAGTGAGAGGTGTCCTCTGTCAAGTGTTTTCTGAAGCTTATTAAGGAGAACAGTAACTCAACTGCACAGAAACACAATCAGCCTTCACAGCCAAGGGATGCAGTGAGGGCAGGGCCTACGTTTAGAGGGCTGGCTTGCTGCTTGGATATGTCCACACAAGGTGACACATGAATACTGAGAGAAATGTGAGAACTAGTGCAGCATGCACTCCTACTGCAGACACGGGGTGAGCTCAGGGCTCCCCAGAAGGTGGACTGTGAGAGGGTCAGGAGGAGAGAGAGGTGCCCACATTTCTTGTGGTCTCTTCTCTCCTGATCTTAACTTCACTATGAGGCAGAGATGTCCCTTAAGGGATAGTACTTTCTGTTTCTGCCATAGCTAGGCAGTTAATCAGATAAACCACCTTGCTGGGTTTCCACAACTGACCAAGCCCCTCTGTGTGTTCCATTTTTACTTTATGTAAAGACTTTCTACCTCACCCAGCCTCTGATGTGATAAACAAGCACGATTGTTTACTCTTGTGTGTGTTGGCTCAGAGCTGTTGCTCCCCCGCACGCCTGAGGGAAGGAGCAGTAATGAGAGAAGCTGTCAGGATGAGGCTGTGTGGAGTGGTGGGCTCCACAGCCATGATTCACCTGGAAATGTTCAAGCTGAAGGGGTCTGCCTCTACAAAGCTTCCATTTAACTGGTGCCACGTGGGATATGAGTCTAGTGACTTGTGAAACCGCCCAATTTTTAAATGTTCTCAAATGAAGCCTTGAAATAAATAACACAACTCAGGTTTAGAATGCAACAGCACTGGGACCCCTTTCTGTCCCACTATCACCAGCCTTTGTCTTGCCTGCCATCAAAAATAAGTAATGGTTTGAGATAACGGGAAGATGCTCAAATCAGGTACGTGGGAGTGATGAACTGTAGGAATCAAATAAGATGACCTAACTTGATTGATTGATTGATTGCTTTTTCCACACTTTAAAAATTTAAAAAGAAAATTTACATTTGTACTAACTGGTTGAGCTTGGTTTGCCCCAGAAAAGTACTTGCAAGCTCCCCATACCTTCCTCTTTGTTCTCTACTGCACCGTATGAGTATTTCCACACATGCCTCCTCAAATATTTAGACAATGGGTTTGTCTCAGCTGCACTAGGGATTCACCAGGCCTGGCACTCAGGAAATGGCTTCTGTTGGCTGAGCAAGCAGACAATTAGCTGTAGTTTCTCTCTGGTGGATAGGTTTTCTGAATCATTGAGGTGACAAGCCACAATTGTTACAATGCTGGGAAGACTTTGAAGCAGGAATTTATCAGGGGAGAGTGAGTAGTTACATGTTAAAATTAGCTTAGACTCAAATATGCCCAGCAAGTAAGTGCTCTCATTGGCTGTTGCTTCTTAGCTTGAGACCTGCTTCAAGTTTTCTGAGTCTTCTTCCCGTCTTCTCGGATAGTGAAGAGGTTGGCTATTTCCACCCTGATAAACTTACTCCTGGTCAGTCGCTGGCATTTGTAGCCTGCTTTTCTTCCAGCTGCCCATGTGGCAGAGGGATTGACTTTAATTTTTTGCAACAGAAGAAGTCAAGGTGCTATTACTAATGCCCCTGCCCAGAGAAGGAGGAAGAAGGGGACAGGTTTATGCCTGCACGCATGAGTAGGTGACACGTGAAGTCAAGTCAGCAGGTAGTTACTATGCAGAAAGGTTGCATGTGGTCCCACCCTGGATTAGGCACTCTGAAAGATCAGCTTTAGAGAGTGTTCTAGAGAAAGCCAGTGTTAGAAGATGCTGTCTTGTTCTGAGTTTCTAAAAGATGAAACTCACGTGTACCAAGTACAAGACAGTACGAAAGTGGTACCTGTGTATGCTAAAGTGTGTCAGGTCCATCTTGGGCCCAGACAGTGGGCAGCTGACTCAGACCCAGGGCTGGCTTTACATTGTTTGGAGAAAATAATGCACAGCCAACGAGCTGACTGTGGAGTGGACTTCAGCCAGGGCCAGGGCTAGCCATCTTGTCTACTAACACAAGCCCTTTGCTCTTTGCTGTGAGCCCTGGGTCACACCAGTGAAATGCTTAGCACAACACTGGCACATGTCACAATTCCATTCATAATAATCTTACCAATAATGATTTGGCCAGGATAGGAAGGGACTGAGGTGGTTGGAATCAGAGCAAAAACTCAAACATATGGCAGAAATTCTGGACTGAGGGAAAAGGGCTTTGCGAGATGCATACAGGATAAGGACCATTTTCAGGGAAATATGGTAGAGCAGTCCACTCTAAACTGATGTGAATGAGGAGGAAAAGTGTCCTCAATACCAAAGTCTCCACCTCCCATCCCTTCCCCTGGGCCCTGCTCGGGCTAGAACTGCCCTGTCCCTCCCAGGGTGCTCCAGCCCCACGCCTCAGCTGTGTGGCATCTCTCTTCCTCTTGTAGACAGCTGGTTCCTGACACCACTGGTCTGCATGGCCTTTGTCGCTCTGACCCCAGTGTGGGGCATCATGGCCAAGCAGAGCCCATCTATCATGAAGATCCTCAAGTTCGGGTGGTTCCCCATCATCCTAGCGATGGTTATCAGCAGGTGAGCATGATCGGGGCCACTGTCCCCGTCCTCCTCTGCTCCCCTTGCCACCTCAGCCTCTGGAGCCTGGGAGCAGCTGTGGGTGTGGTAGCCCCTGGGAGGAGGGGGGCCACTCCCTACCTCTGTGGTGACGTCACCAGCTGCCAATCCCAAACCTCTTTACTTTCTAGTCTTTGGGTAAACTCTTTGAGGCTGTCCTCTCACCCGAGAGCATATTCATTCTGAAAGGGCAGTCCTGTTTACAAGGACGAGAGCACTCAACCCCAAATGGGGAAGTCAGCTACACTGGCTCTCACCACAGCTCACAGGTTACTGTCGGGTTCTTTGCCTTAACTGTCTGCCGCCATTAGGCCAGAGTGGATTTGTCACAGGGCTTCACAGCTTGACAGATGGTGGGACCTACAGGGGCTGCACAGCTAATGACCCCGTGGGCCCTCAGTTCCTAAGTGAAGCCCAGCACCAGGCTCATGGGCTCTTTCTTGCTAGAACTTGTTGGGAACCACTTTGGTGTATTCTGGATTATTTTCCTAACTCAGGAAGAAGAAGTTGTGGCCTAGGAATCTTTACTTCCAGAAGGCTGTTGGGCTTCTTATGGGAAATGGATCCAAATGCTCCAGGACTCTACTTCCAGGGCCTGGGAAGGTCTTGCTTCACCATGTTCCACAAACTAGGTGCCTATGATGCTACTTTCACGCATCTGAGCTGCAGTGATGCTGCCACGTGATAGCTTCACCAGCTCAAGGACCTGGGAAAGGCATTTGAATTTTCCATTTGTTTTTCAGATTGTTTTTGTTGTTGAGTTCCGTTGAGTCAGAACTGGCCCATAGCTGACCTTCTTGCTGGTTTCAAGAGGCACTAAATTACACAAGAGGAGATTAATTGTCCATCTTTCTCCTGCCGAGCAACAGGCAGATTTGAACCATGTACCCATTGTGTCAGCAACACAATTTCTTACCACTAAGCCACCCGATCCTGACATGATCTGATGGGATCTGAGAATAGCTGAGACTGAGAACAGAAGGGGATACAGGAAAATGTGTGCAGTGTGAGAACAGCTTAGCCGTTACTTCTATTTTGTGTAGGAAACAGGAGCGTGGACGTTGGGCTGGGAATGTAGGCTGACAACTTGTGCAGGGAGGTGTGCGAGGCTCTGTGAGTCCATCCTGCTCACCATGAAGATGCTGTTTGCTCTCTCTCAGTTTTGGAGGACTCATCCTGAGCAAGACCGTCTCTGAACCACCCTTCCAAGGCATGGCCATCTTCACGCCCATCATATGTGGTAGGTATCTCAGGTTATGTGTGTGGCCCTGGAGTCTTAGAGCTGGTTAGCTCCCAGACATTGGCTACATCTGAACAGAAATAGCATCAAGCTTCAGGCCGTCAGAGGCAGCGTTTCAGCCACACCTCAGCTCTGCAGGGGCCCTGAGGAGAGAAAGCCTGCTTGCTGTCCTCACCAGTTTACCTTGTTCTCTTGGGTGCCTCCGAGTCCTGAGCTGTCTGAACAAGGCTGCCCCTTGGAGGCCTGAGCCCAGAACCTGCTGCCTTCCTGTGATTGAATGTCACCTGCTGAAATGGGATGCTGGGCTCTCATTTTTTTGCCTTTTGTTTTGTTATTGTGATTTGGGTGAGTTTTACAGAACAAACTCATTTTCCATTCATAATATAAAATATCTAATTTAGATGCATTGGTGGCATTGAAAGATCAGACACATATCTTTTAAAAAACGTAGTGGCTTTTTCTTCTCTTTAGGAATGAAGGCTGTGACAGTTCTTGCTTTGCATTCTGATAGTGATCAGCTGAAATAGCGGTTCCATGCTGCTATTCCCACAGTGCCCTGAAACAAGACAGGTGATTCTCAGTTTTGCCTCAGTCCTTACCACTCCTTGTTGTCTTGCATATGACCCCCTTTTCTTTTAAGCCTAGACCCTTTTCTGTTGTTGTTGTTGTTGTTTGCCATTAAATCAGAGCTGACCCATACCTGACCCCTTCAGTGGGTTTTCAGAGGCAGTAAATCACACAGGAGGAGAGTGCCCCTCCCTCACCTGTGGAAAACCATGTAGATTTGAAAGGGTCTAGACCCTCTGTTGTGGTTATTGTTAGGTGCCATCGAGTTGAGTATGACCCATAATAACCCTATGAACAGAGCTGAGCCCCGTCCTCGCCTGTGCCATCCTCATGCTTCTGACACTCTAGAGCCCATTTGTGGTAGTTACCATGTTAATCCACTTGGTTGAGGGTCTTCCTCTCCTTTGCTGGTCTTGCCTTTCCAAGCATCATGTCCCTCTCCAAGGAATAGCCCCTCCTCACAACATGTCCTGAGTATGTGAGGCGAAGCCTCATCATCTTTGCCTCCAGAGAACACTCCAGCTGCACCCTCTCCAAGACATACTTGTTCTTTTGTCGGTTCATATGATGTTCAGTGCTTATCTCCAACACCACAGCTCAAAGGCATCAATTCATCCTCTAAACCGCAATTAAATAAGAGCAAAGATTTTTCAACAAGGCACATGTGTTTATGAATAATTTTAAGTGCAAATAATTCTTTAGCTTCTGAGAATATAACCGAAGAAATTAGACTCATCAAAATGATAGTTAAAGAAGTTATTTTGTGAAACTTCTGGGTTGCTTTTGTTGTTGTTTTTTCTACATACACATCTCTTTTCTTCGATTCTTATATAATTCTATTATTTCTATAGCAAAGTCTGGTTAAATTCTTATATGAGATATGTCCTGAATTAAGAAAGACACTGAGTTTTACAGTCTATTTTTTTTAAAAGAAAAGAGTATGCATAGCAATGTCAGCATTGGAAAAAATTCGTCTTCTGTCATCCTTATTCATTGTAGCTCTCAGATGCATAGCAAGTGATCAGAAAGACCATGGCCTGAATCAGATGCACCTTAGTCCTCAAACCAACATCATTACTCCTTGAATTTGGAGAGGTCCCTAACAGCAGAAAAATGCCTAGACCCTCTAGACATTTTTATTTATGACTCCTGTTTTAACTAAAGTTTGAATTTGTGTCAGGTTTCTGATAAGTCGCTATGCATTGCACTGACAGGTGAGGAGAGGAAAGAAGGCAGATAACTCAGTGCCTGGTGTGCCTGGTTCCCAGGCCCTGGCCTGATGAGACTGTACAGATAAGCTTCTGAAACCTTGGCACACTAACACAGAAGGATCCTCCCTCAGGTTTCTAAGGCTGCAGATCTTAACAGGAGAAGACCGCCTGCTTGTCTTTATTCCATAGAGTGGTTGGTGGATTCAAACCACTGACCTTTTGATTAGCAACATAGCATACCACCAGTGCTCCTTAATGACTACTTGTTGTTTTATACTGTCGCTTCAGAACCAATTCATAGCTGGCCTTCCAGGAGGTTTTCAGAGGCAGTAAATTGCATGGGAGGAGATTGCCCATCCTTCTCCCAAGAAGCAGCAGATGGATTTGAACCATGTGCATTTGGGATTGCTGCACAGTTTCTTACCACTTAACCACCCGTACTTAGAACCAGCCAAATTGTTGCCTTGTGGAAATGCAGACGCAGAGTTGCCAGAGCTGATTTGTTAAGAGAAGCTGAGAATCTTGATTTTATATGAAAGGATCCAATTTGTAAATGCAATCAGCTAATATTCAATCCACTACTTTTTTTTTTTTAATAAGCCACCTGCAGACCAGATATCTATAGCCATCCTGGGCCTGTAGACCATTCTTGGTATCCTCAGTATCAGCTGAAGGCTTTCTGCCTCCCGAAGTCAGTGATGTGTGTCCACCAAGCAGCAGACTGTCCTCTCTGAAGCTGAGGGAATAGTATGAGGATGGCCCACTTCCCTTCGCTCTGCCACCCTCTCTAGGAAATTCTTAACATAGGAGTACAGAAAGCACTGAGCACAGCATGGATACAACCTGTGAAAGCCTTGTGTCTAAGCAAGGAGCCCCAAACATTCTGGTGAACAGCCCATGTGTGCTTTCTTGGTCTCTGGCTCCTTCTATGTTCTTCACCCCCTCGATCTTCATGACCCTCCCTAAATTTAGTCAGATAAGCCCCATCCCACATGAATTCCACATTCCCATATGTATGCAGGAACCAGAGATAAAAACTTGAGGCCTCAAAGAGGGGACCACACAGCATATAACGACACAGTATAAGTCTTCCTACATGCCCTCTGACCACTCGACCATGCAAGGTTCCCAGTGTGCCTGTCACCATATACCAATATCCTCCCTCTTGCTTTCACTACCCTACTTTTCTCCACTCTTCCCTTTCTTCCTCTTCTTACCTTTAGGCTTAAAAAAAATGTTCATTTTTCTCAGGTATTCCAGCTTAACCATCTTTCTGAGATTTTCCTTTCTGACCCTGGGTTACTTATAAAGCTTTTGTCTCCCAGATCCATCTATCCCCTCTATTCCCCCCTTCCTACTAACTCCTCATCGTAGAATCCCTGCCTTCCCTGTTACTCTCTTTGTTCAGTGAGCATTTATGGAGAACCTACTTTACCATACATGCTCCTCTCACTTTTAGAGATACCTGACTTCAGACTGTTCTCTGACAAGGTCTGAGCCATCTTTGCTTGGTGGCAAACAAGATCTATAGTTCACTGGGAGAGAAGAAAAAGATATTAAGAGCTGAGTCAATTGAGAAAGCCTTCCTGGATGAAGTGAACTTAAAACAAGGGAAAGAACTCAGATACCAGCACAAATGCTATCATTTGTATAATGATAGAAGAATTGATGCCTTTGAGTTGTGGTGCTGGAGAAGAGTATTGAATATACTATAGACAGCTAAGAGAACAAACAGGTTTATCCTGGAGAGGATGAAACTAGGCTTTGCCTTGGAGGCAATGATTTTTAAGCTCTGGTTCACATACTTTGGGCATGTGGCCAGGAGGGACCAGTCCTTGAAAAAGGACATCATATTTGGAAATATAAAGGGATAGCACAAGAGAGTAAGACCCTGAATGAGATGGATTGACTCAGTGACTGGGGTAATGGAGGTGGATGTATCAGAGACAATCAACTTGGCACAGGATAGAGCAGGGTTCAGAGCTGTTGTACATGGGGTCACTGTGAGTCAGAGTAAACTCGATAGTACATAACAACAACAATGACCAGCACAAAGAAGGGTAAATCAGATTCTTTTTCTCCTCTCAGGTGTTGGTGGCAACCTGGTGGCCATTCAGACCAGCCGGATATCTACTTACCTGCACATCTGGAGCACACCTGGAGTCCTGCCCCTCTGGATGAAAAAAATCTTGCCTAACCCATGCTCCACTTTCTGTTCCTCAGGTAAGCCTATTTATTGTCTTCTGAAAATCAGAATTTTCTGAAAAATTCTGAAAAAAAAATTTTGAACCAAGTAAACATAAATGTCATTTTAAAACAAAAATGTTGTTGGAATCCAGTGTTTGTAACAAGAAAAGTTACAAACCACTTTTGGCAAAGCCACTTCTGGCATATCACTGTTGGATCATCTCAAAGACCTTGACTCCTCAGCCCTGCCTGTAATTCATTCATTTGTTCACTAAAAAAACATTGACTGAAAATTGTGATATACTCACACAATGGAATACTACCCAGTAATAAGCAGCAATGATTTTGAGAAATACTGCACAACTTGGGAGAGAATGGAGAGCATTATGCTGAGTGAACAAACTCAGTCTCATAAGGACAAATACTGCATACGAACATTAGTGTAAAAATAGAAGGATAACTAGTAAAATGTGTAGAAATCCAAGGGGTGGAAGCAGAAGGTTGAGGATGTATAGGGGCAAAATCACAGGGTTGCACAATTTGGTGGGTGGGATGAAGAGTTAAAGAAATGGGAAAGGTCTGAAGGGGACCTGAAAAGATGGGATAATGGTGAATATAGTTCAATGCTGATTAATTTTATAAAACATACTGAATTTTCTCATTAGCACGATCAAGTGTTCTGGGATGCCCATTCTTCTCAGAGTCAGCCACAGTTTGTTATGATCCACACAGTCAAACACCTTTGCACAGTCAATGAAACACAGATATACATTCCTCTGGTATTCCCTGCTTTCAGCTAAGATTCATCTAACATTAGCTACAATATCCCTAGTACCGCAACACCTTCTCAACCCAGCCTGGACTTCTGGCAGTTCTCTGCTGATGTGCTGTTCCAGTCATTTTTGGATAATCGTCAGTAGAATCTTGCTTACGTGTGAAATCAATGATATTCTTCTATAGTTTCCACACTCTGTTGGGTCACCTTTGGGATGGGAACAAATATAGATCTCTTTCAGTCAGTAGGCCAAGTGGTTGTTCTCCAGATTTCTTGGCACAACTTGGTGAGCATGTCCAGGGCAGCATCTGTTAGCTGAAATATGTCAATTGGTATACCATCTATTCCTGGGGCCTTATTTTTTTGCCATTTCCTTCAAAGCAGCCGGAACTTCTTCTTTCATCACCATAGGCTCTTGCTCATATGTTGTTTCATGAAATTCTTCTGTGTCTGCCAATTCCTTTCGATACAGTGACTCAGTATATTCTTTCCATCTTCTTTTAATACTTCCTGGATCATTTAATATTCTGCCTAAATGGTCCTATACTTGGACCAAGAGGCAGTCGTCAGAAAAGAGCAAGGAAACACTGCATGGTTCAAAATTGGGAAGGGTGTATGCCAGAAATGTGTCCTGTCGCCATACCTTTTCAACCTGTATGCAGAACAGATTATCCAGGAGGCTGGTCTCTATGAGAAAAAATGTGGGGTCAAGATTGGTGGAAGATCTATCAACAATCTGCATTATGCAGTTGACACAGCCCTGCTTGCTGAAACTGAGGAGAACCTGAAGCGCTTGATGCAGAGGGTCAAGGACTGCAGTCTCCAATATGGATTGAGGCTCAATGTCAAGAAGACAAAGATTAAAGGGCCTCTCCACAATGGCAGCAGCACGGCACAGCACCCTGGACTTCACGCTCGGTGGCAAAGCACATTCTCTAAGCAGAGTAGTGATGTCAGTTTGAGGACTAAGGTACATCTAATTGAGGCCATGGCCTTCTCAGTTACCTGCTACACATCAAAGATCTGGACAATGAATAAGGATGATAGAAGAACTGATGTTTTTGATTTGTGGTGCTGGAGAAAGAGTACTGAATATCCCATGAACTGCCAAAAGAACACACAGGTCATTGTTTATTTAATGCCAGATTATCTCTGCTGAAGATAGTGGTCAAACAGGACTGCAGAGTGCTAATGATCTTTCTGAACTTCCCTGTCATTCTACTAGTTTGGAGGTGAAGCTGATTGTGAAACCATTCTAAAAGGCCTCCAGTCCATTTTCCAGGAGCAGGGGATGACAGAGGCGATGCACAACTGGCAGGACCATGGCTACTTAGCAACACACACCAACAAAAATGGCAGCTTTGCCAATTTGAGAATATACCCTCACAGATTCGTGTTGCTGGATCTTCAGAGTTATGACAATGATGCCCAAAGCAACAAAGAAATTGACAGTCTTTTGAACAAAGTAGAAGAAAAAATGAAAGCACTGAATCAGGACAGTGCTGCGAGGGTGAAGCGATTGCCACCCATAGTTCGAGGAGGGACGATCAATAGATACTGGCCCACGGCCGACGGGCGCCTGGTGGAGTATATCGATGAGGTAGTATATGATGAAGATTCACCTTATCAGAACATTAAGACTCTACACTCGAAGCAATTTGGAAATATTCTCATCCTCAGTGGGGATGTCAATTTGGCCAAGAGTGATTTGGCATATACCCGGGCCATCATGGGTGGTGGGAAAGAAGATTACACTAGCAAAGATGTACTGATTCTGGGGGGTGGAGATGGAGGCATTTTATGTGAAATAGTCAAACTGAAACTAAAGATAGTCATCATGGTCGAGATTGACCAGATGGTGGTTGATGGGTGTAAGAAGTTCATGCAAAAAACATGTGGTAAGGTCTTCGACAATCTTAGAGGAGAATGCTATCAGGTTCTAATTGAAGACTGCACTCCTGTCCTGAAGAAATACGACAAAGAAGGAAGAGAGTTTGATTATGTGATTAATGATTTGACAGCTGTTCCCATCTGCACATCTCCAGAGGAAGATTCCACATGGGAATTTCTCTGACTCATTCTTGACCTGTCGATGAAAGTTTTGAAACAGGATGGCAAGTACTTCACACAGGGGAACTGTGTCAATTTGACCGAAGCCCTGTCCCTTTATGAAGAACAGCTTGGGCACCTGTATTATCCTGTGGAATTCCCCAGGGAGATTGTCTGTGTCCCTTCATACTTGGAATTGTGGGTATTTTGCATTGTGTGGAAGACAGCTAAGCCTTGAGGACCAACCTTGCCGGCCATGCATGCTGTGTGCACCGCATGCTATTCGCACAGCCATTCTGATCTTCACTCTCAGACAACATCCTGAGTCAGGCAATCGATTGTGAGTTCCTTAAGTGATTTTTCTTCTTTTTTGTTGTTACTATTTTTCATTTAAAAAAGGAAATGGAAAAAAATGTATATTTTGATGTGCTAGGGTGTTAGTTTTCACAAAGTCAGCTTAAGGATGAACTGGCAGCAAGGTCCGAGCTACTCCATGCGCTGAACCCCTTGAATATGATTTTTGTTACTTTATATTTCTCTGTGGGCTCCCCTCTCCCATTTTGTTTTGCTTTTGGTAGACAATTAATTTGATTGTCTAGAGGAGTGAGCATTTTCATTTGGTTCCTGAGGAAAATTCCTTTTAAAAAATTTTGATTGAGAGATTAAGATTTGGTGCTTATAAAAGAGTGTTAAGGGGAAAAAAAAACAATAAATGAATAGCATTGCTCCCATTAAAGTTATAAAAGCAGAAAGAAAAAAAGAGAAGACAAAGACTCTCACCACTGGACCAATTGGCAGCATCAGGATGGATGGTGAAGAGATTGAGATTGTTCACAGCTTCAGTTTGCTTGTCTCCACACACAGTCAACACTCTTAGCACCAGTAGCCAGGAAATTAAAAGGTGCATTGCCATGGGAAAGTCTGCTGTTTGGGACCTCTCCAATGTACTGAAGAACAATGGTGTCTTTGTGGAGACTAAGGTGCATCTGATACAGGCCATGGTCTTTGCTATCACTTGTTATGCATCAGAGAGTTAAACAATGACTAAGGAGGATAGAAAGATAATTGATGCCTTTGAGCTGTGGTGCTGGAGAAAAGTATTGAGAATACCATGGACTGCTAGGAAAATAAACAGATTCATCCTGGAGAGGGTTAAACCGGGTGGCTCCTTGGAGGCAAGGATTCTGAGGCTTCATCTGACATACTTTGGACATGTTGTAAGGGGGGACCAGTCCTTGGAGAGGGACATCATGCTTGGGAAAGTGGAGGGACGGCGCAGGAGGGGAAAGCCCTCTATGAGGTGGATTGATTCAGTGACTGGGGTAATCAGGATGGGAGTGTCAGAGACTATGCGATTGGCACAGGACAGAGCAGTTTAGGGCTGTTGTACATAGGGTCACTATGAGTTGCAAGCGACTCGATGGCACATAACAACAACAACAAATAGGATGATTGTATAAAACACAATGTGAATGAAAAATAATATGAAACACAATGTATACAAACTTTGTAAGCAAACCAATATAAAATAAATTTTAAAAAAAAAAATTTAAAAGTGGAAGGATATACAGAATCACTGTGCTGAAAAAGAAGGGCCAACACTGAAATACTTCGGGGGAGGAAAAAGATCCTAGAAGTGATCACTGCTCTTTTGATCCTTTCCTGCTGGTGTCCATTCCTGTTTGCTCTCTTCCATACAGATCTCTTATCAACCCACTGTTTCCATCACCATCTCTTTCAGATTGCATCACTTGTTTCCACTGCTTCTGACATCCATTCTTTCTGCTTTCAATCAACACAGCAGGCAAAGTGGGTTTGTTACTGTGTTGGGGTTTTTTTAAGCATAAATGGGATCCTCTCTCTGTTTAAGATTTTCCAGTGAATCCCAGCACACTTGAAATTAAACATCGTCCCCTCAACCTCACTTGCACAGCACCTTCTGATTCATCTTGTGTCTCTCCCCAGATCACTGTCTGCCTACGCTCTAACCTTTGTCCTTCCTATTCCCAGGCTCTTTAATCCCTGCCCTTTCTCCTTCTCCTGCTCAGACTCTGTTCACTCTATCCCTTTCCCATGTACACCTCAGCTTCAGTGTTCTCTTTGGAACGTTATTCTCATCTCCAATAGTTCCTGCCTATTAAAATGTACTTCGTTCTTTGTTATATGACCCTGTTTTCATCATTGTATTCATCAATTTATTTGTTTCTGTTTACTGAACTACTTTTCATTTCTCAGTCTAAAATGTGAGTCCCATGAGGGGGGAACAGAACTATCCCCTTGTCTGTCAGAGTCAAGCAAAGAATCAATGTTCAATAAACTTGTGAAATAAATAGGGTCAGTGAATGTGGCTGCATCCTTGGAACCTGTCACGTTCCAGGGTGGCCTCTGCTACCAGTCATGTCATGACACTTTGGTTTTCTTTCCTCCAGAAATAAATTCCATGTCAGCCAGAGTCCTGCTCTTCCTCGTGATTCCAGGTCATCTGATTTTCTTCTTAGTCATCTACCTGGTAGAAGGTCAATCAGTCATAAGCAGCAAGACCTTTGTGGGGCTGTATCTGCTGGCAGGCCTGATTCAGGTAAGGAAAGCTGCAGCAGGAAAATAGCAGTCATGGGTTAGTCAGTAAGCAGATGTGGCCCCCTTCATCTTCTTGCTCTTGAGTAAGATACACAGAAGGAAAGGAGTGGCTTCTGGACATAGAAGGCCCAGTCCCCTCTTCCAGGAGGTCAGTCAGCTTGTTCCAGTCCAAAGTTGTGTTCCAGACACTCATTGTCACTGGATCAGGACATTGTCCTGACCCTGAAGGTGCATATGGTCGCCCATGGAGCAGGCTGCTGAGCTGATCCATAATTCTTTAAAGCTCTGCTCATCGCTGCATCAGAAACACCAGCTGGGCAGAGACCAAGCCCTGTTGGGATCTTGCTGCAAATCCCGTGTAACTTCTCCTGGATGGAGGGTAATGAGGATAGTAGTGAAGGAGGTTAAGCTGGAGTACGAGTGTCAGAAGAATACTCTCAGCGTTCTGTCTGCTGAGCCTCTAGCCGGGTGGTGTTCCCGCTGGGCATGGGAATGTGGGCCCAGGGTTTCTGAAGGGAGAACTGTAGGTGTGCTGCTTAGTGATATTTGTGAGGGGGTTGCTAATATAGGGATTGGCACTTTCTAATCTCCAATTTAAGGAAGCTGAAATTTGCTATTCCAGCATATTCCTCCCCCTGAGGAGTAGGGATCCATAAGTCCATGAAGATCCCCTGGGAGCAGCATGCTTATGGCTAAAAGGAGAAAGAAGAGACTGAGGTTAGCTTAGAAAAAGGGACTGAGGAAGCCTTGACCCTGAGCAGGCAGAGGGCCCACCCTGTGCACTTTAAAGAGAGGCCAGCCATCAAAAGCTCCAAGTGAAAGGAATTCAAATCACCTCAAGTTACAATCCAGCAAGATCCATGCCTTGAGGTTTTAGGAGCTCAGATGAATGGAGTCTGAGTCACAGAGAGGCCCAGGGATTGTCAGTGGCACAGGTCTTTCTGGCACAAAGAATAAGTCTCAACTATTAGAAAGGAGACTGGGAAAGTGTGAATGTAGGTCAGCTTCACCAGCCTGCTGCTCTGTGAGCACGGAGCTGGACTTCAGACCATAAGAGCTGGACAAAAGGAATTGTCTAGGGTTGGCACAGTCCCCCGGGAGTTCTGCTCTTGAAACTCTGATAGTGTTTCTTGGCAATGCTGGGTTTTCTGACTTGGCTTTCTTGTTCTGTGTCTGCTTGCTTATGACCAGGTGACTGTCCTACTGTACTTGGCAGAAGTGATGGTCCGTCTGACTTGGCAGCAGGCCCTGGATCCTGACAGCCACTGTATCCCGTACCTTACAGGACTGGGAGACCTCCTCGGGACAGGCCTGTTGGCACTCTGTTTCCTTTTCGAGTGGTTATTGAGGAGTAGAGCAGAATTTGAAGGCCTCTCAGAACCAGTGTCCGGGCCACCCTAATTCAACCTGCCCAGCCCCCATTGCTCAGTAGAATTTTCCCGCTTCTTCCTGTTCAGGGTCCTCAGGATAGCTGACACTTTGCCTGTCCCATGGTCCTTTGTCAGTCCACCCACACACATTGATTCTGGAGCTGATACCTGAGCCCAGGATGGAGACGTAGAATCGGAAACATTGTTTTGTGAAGGTGTGAAAGTGACCGGGTATGCCTGGGCAAGTGTGTGTATGAGGGTACATATATGTATGAGGAACAGGGTGCTTGACCTGAAGAAGAAGCTGAGAGATATATCTGCACTATTCCAGGCCGGGGAAACCTGGGCTGGGGTGGGCAGGAGATCCTTTCTATCCCAGACCTCAGGATAGTCTGAGGCCTGGCTGAGGCCCAGGGTCCAAGGGTCCCCAGCCCTGAGGGTCCCCTACGGGCAGCCCTTCCCACAAAGGGCCTTGCACAGTCCTCAGCTACTGTCAGGCATTGAATCTTTCCTTTGCATTTCTTGACCTTTTCCTTTTTTTTTTAGAACAAAAACCTCTATCTAGATTTCAGTGGTCAGAGAGAGATGTAAAATAAAGCACAACTTGTATTGAACCTTGTTTCTTGTGTCTTTAAAGTTGGTTAATGGAATCATGAGCCATGGAGTCCATATGCTGCAGAAGCTTCTGGTATTCATCTAGCTGTTTCTCAGAGGGTGCGTCTAGACTTGATGCATCCATCATCCGCACCAGAACACTTGTTAGAAATGGAGAGCATCCCACACTCCTCCAGTCCTAGCAAATCAGAATCTCTGGTGCTGGGGCCTACTAATCTAGAGTCAACATGGTTTCCTGGTGATTCTGTTGTGCATTCACATTTGAGGACCCAGCTCCAGTACCTCATCTTTAATAGTGTCCCTTTTCTGTTTTTTATTAATACATCACAACAACCTTTCTGTGGTCTGGAATAAGCATTATTATCTACATGTGACAAAACAGGCTTAGATAAATAATGTGATTCGTTCATTCAAAAAGCATTGACACAGAACCTCTTGTCAGGTTCCCAGAAGAATACAGATGACAAAATCAACTGGAGCAGTTGAAACATTGAAGAAAATAACAATCTATAAATATATGGGCAGATGGCAGATGAAAGCTGCCACCCCCGAAGACTGGACACAGTCCGAGAATTAGAATATTAGGCCTAAAAAAGCATCATACACATTCATCTGAACTAAAGAATAGTTGCATGGAGGTTACTTGGTTCACCCTGAAACCTACAGCATCCCTTTTTAGCAGGAAGTAACTAAGAGAATACGCCGTCCCCTTTTCCTTATGAATCAGAGTGAAATCTCTCTCAGGGAGGAGGGATAGGGAATGGCAAAGGGCACACTGACAAAGGAGATTAATCAGAACTGGTTTTGACAAGCACTGTGGCAATGGGATAATTAAAACAGACTTTCAAGGGATATAAAGAGAGGAACGAACTGGGGAACTTAACGCACCCTGGGGCTCAACTTGGAGTGAAACATTAGGCTTATAAGGCGAGCAATAATACCAGGAGCTACTCACTCGCTAGAGCAACCCTACAAGATCAAAAAGGCCATGTGCCCATAGCTAAAGCTCAGAAGGGAACTCTGTTGGTCTAGTGTTAAGAAGCTAGGCTGCAATCCCAACAGCACATGGTTCAAATCCACAAGCTGCTCCGTGGGAGAAAGATAGTCAGTCTCCTTCCATTTGATTAACTGCCTTGGAAAACCTGATGGCAGGTCAACTGTGGGTCAGTTCTGGCTCCAAGGCACATAATATAGCTCAGAAAGTAGGAAAAATAGAAGAATAGAAAGGAAGGGGTGCTGTTACATTATGGAGAGTCTAATTCATGTCATAAAACGTATATATGAATGAGTGAATGGAAAAGCCAATTGCTCTATAAACTTTCACTCAAATCACAATTAAGGTGAAGGTGGGGAGAAGAAAGAAATAAGTCTACAACACAAATAGTCTATATGACCCACAATTTTATCTCCCCTGAGGCAAAGTTGGATAGATGTGCCCAACTACCACAGTCAACTATTGTAATCAGAAGCACAGTACATGGAGCAGATGGAACAAGATAGGGCTCTCCAAAACTATCACCCTAAGATAACGCATCTTGCCTAGAATCAAAATTAACTTCTGCGGACATATGGTACACAAATAGCAAGACTGCTCAAAAAATAGTATCACTTGCAAGTATTGTACTCCTTTTTTAAAAAATCACCTGTATGAGTCCAAAAACCAACACTTTCTTTAAAAATTATGATGATGTATGAGAATGGAACAAGAATGGAATTCATGAAAATATTCATGCACTGTGAAGAAGGTATCCAATGTTACTGAACAATTTGTGTAGTAATTGTTGGATGCGGACTTAAGCTACTGTATAAACCTTCACCAAAAACACAAGTATTTTTTAAGTGAAAGACCTAATGAAAATTCATTACAAAAGTAATGCAATTGACCAGGCAATGGTTTTTCTGTGGTGTGCACTATTTTTAAACAACTGAAATTGTATCTACACTGTTGTCTTCTACCAGGCAAAGCAGTAGTAGGATATCTCAGGAGTAGGAAAAGCACTACACAAACCTCTGGAAACTTTCTACCATTTCTAAAACAAATTAACATTTCACAGATATTTAACCAAAAGAAAATGACAAATCTGTGCTCAAGGAGTTCACATCAAATGAAGCACACTACAGACTCACCTCACTGTCACGCCCAGTGTAAATGGACTTAATTGTGTCCCCCTCAAAATATTTCAGTTTGGTTAGACCATGATTCTCATTATTATGCAATTATGCCAAGAGCTGTAATTCCTAGCTTCTATGGTGCTGAGGCTTCGTCTGACATACTTTGGACATGTAAGGAGGAAGAGGCCCTTGGAGAGGGACATCATGCTTGGGAGGGTGGAGGGACGGCGCAGAAGCGGAAGACCCTCTATGAGGTGGATTGATTCGGTGACTGGAGTAATCGGGATGGGTATGTCAGAGGCAGTGCAATTGGCACAGGATGGAGCAGTTTAGGGCTGTTGTACATAGGGTCACTATGAGTCGCAAACAACTCCACGACACATAACAACAACAACAACATGGTGTTAAGAGGGAATCCAGGTTGGAAGTAGTCTGGAGTGGTTGGATTCTACATAAGTTTGTTTTCTGGTTCTGGTAAGGATCAAGGTGGAATGTTGACTTGCTGCTGGGTGTATTGATTGTATTCGGCTTCCTAGTTAAAAACACATTTGAGTTTAATTGTTTTTGGTCAGTCTTCTAAGTGCTATAGCATTGGTCTGTCCATTTGCTGTACAGAGATAACTCAAGATTGTTGTGATACTAAACACACACTGTGACACTGATGTGTCAAATGTGATAATGGTTACCCATGGTGGACAGTGTTTGGTGGAGCTCCCCTATTAAAACAGGCAGGAGTGGCATCCATTTCTGGAATAGCTTGCCTCCAGAAACTCTATGAATTTAGAAAAATGATGAAAGTTATACAGTTGTTGAGGTCTTTCGTTCATAGGATCGCTATGAGTCACCTATGACTCGATGGCACTTAACAGCGACAACAAAGGCAATTAGCACATACGTTTACGAGATGAGTTTTAGCACAAAGTATGGATGAGAAATGGAGACATCAGGTCTTTTAATTTGAGGACTAGTTGTCTTTTTTCCCCCTTGAGAGTATGTATGAAATGAGTGCCTCTGTCTTTGCAATCTCTAGCAGTTTTCCATACTGGTTCAATGTTTGTGCCATAATAAAATTGTTTTCATTCCCATCTATCTTTGTAGAGGGTGTTTTCTGCATTGAAAGGAGATTGTCTTTTTCTATTCCATTAAACGCAGCTATTTGTATTCATGAACGTTATAATAAAATGTTTTTACAAGTTAGCATGGGAGTTAAGTGTGATCAGTTTGTCATCCTGAGGTGGCTTGTGTTTTGCTGGGTGCAGTAAGCTATGCCACTGGTATTTCTTATTCCAGCCGAGTCGCCCATGATGGACATGTTTCAGCAGAGATTCCAGTCTAAGAGAAACTAAAAAGGAAGTCCTGGTATTCTACTTCCATAGCATTGACCAATGATAATGTGCCCATGAGTGTCTAGCATGGTTGTTTCAGACACATTGTAAGAAGGGATCAATTACTAGACAAGAACATTAAGTTCAGTGAAGTAAAGGCCAGCAGGGGCATGGAAGACCACAGAGCTGAAGAGCTGCCAATTGTGAGGATGATTCAGGACTGGGCAATGTTGCATTCTGTTGTACATAAATTGTCATGAATGTGTTCAATTCAGTTGTAGCTCAGAATCACGATATGGTTCTTAAAATCTTAGCTGTTTCACCAGCTGCTCTTTGGGAGAAGGGTGGACAGTCTCCTTCCATGACTTTAACAGCCTCTGAAACCCCACTGAGGGTCATATGAGTCAGTTACAATTCAGTGGTGCTGAGTTGAGTTTGGCTGTTTCAAAAGTGAGACTTGACTCTATTACATGACTATGGACATGATATAATTAGCATGCAACACAGAAGTTTTGCCTTCTAGCTAGACTACTCAGGAAGTAAAAGTAACCCTGAAAGCATAACAGGGACTAGAAAGGTCTCAATAGATTCATCAAATGAGAAAACACTGAACATGTTCTCCTGTGCAAGTAAATGAAATCAAGAGAGTTGTCTTTTTTAAGTACATCATGTATGACAAAGATGGGGAAGTTCTGATTACATTCACTTGCTGAGAAAATACTACCAAATTTTCCCATCCAAATGCAGGAAATGAAGAGAGCCTGGATTTGACTGCACAACCTTTACAAGGAAGAGGACACTCTTCTCCCTCCTCAGACTGGAAAAACTCTTTTTATAGATGTTCTTTGTTGCCTTCGAGTCAAGCACAACTCATAGCAACCCTATGAACAAAAGGCCAGAAGTCCCTCTACAACTATCAACATTTATCAAAGTTAATAGAGTTTCCGGAAGCATGTTGTTTAGGAAGTGGATGCCACTT